CCATGTGATGTATCAGTCACCTGGAGGCAGGGCTTAAAAGCCTGAATTTTGCCTGAAACTCTCAGACTGAAGAAGTCTCTTGGAGGAGAGACGAAACATTTCATTAGAGAAGAACCCGTCCAGAAGACCTACACAATTTTTTTTCTTTATGAAATTATTTAATTTGTATTTGCATGAGTTACTGTTTGAGGAGTTTCATTTTTGTTTTTGTATTATTTGGTTTATTATTGTTTGAAATTAATAAATGTATGTTGTAAATAGGAGCCGATATAAGATTTTTTTTCTTCTGCTGCTGCCTTTAATTGTATTTGATTTGTATTGTTTTGCTGTATGTAATGTGTTTTGTTTTGTTTGTTTTATTTTTTAAATGAAATGAATAAATACAATTTGAAACTAAAAATTTTAAACTTTCCATCAGGTAAAAATTTAAGATCCAATTATTTTTAATGTTTCTTCCCTTAAATGACATTTTAAAAAAATCCTCATTAGACAGGGATGAGTCCTGTCAGCTAGTCCCCCAGGTTAAAATGAAATTCAACATTTTGTATCACAGTTAAAAATAAAATGTGACAACTATGGAAAACACCTATCAGAAGATTTCCTAATCGATGAGAAAGATGTTAATAATTGTATAAAATTCTAAAGATTGTGTGAGTGTAGCATCTGATATTTGTGTTACATCATATCTGAGGCTGACAAACTACAACTTAAACTAGACATGGGTTTTTACGATGTAAAAACAAGTGTGCATTGCCACGTAGCATGTCATTGCAGCATTGGACTTGCAGAATGAACTTTGACCAAGTTGGAATGTGTTTTCTATACCAGCTTGTGTCTGTCACGTCAGCAGGTGTTTGTAATTAAGGTAATTGTGTGACAATATGAAGCTTGAAGAGATTTTTTCTTAAAGTTGCATTAGCTGGGTTTTGAACCCTGATCTCCCACATGAAAGTCTATGACATTGACCATTAGACCAATGGAGTTGTGCAGAAGGTGGTGGCAGGGGTTGGTTTGTATGTGTGCAGAAAGAGGCCACATTGCCAATACAATTATTGACACTAAACTGCATAATATTACAACAATAGATCAGTATTAAGACAATATTATAGTAAAACATCAAAATACAATCATATTAATATTGTAATCACTGAACCACTGATTTTAAATATTATGAAACTACGGTGCAGTACCATATTGTGTAGATGCAGCAGGGGGCAGTATTTGACCAATACAAGTCTCCATTGACTGCTATTATAATTTTTTAAACATCAATATTTCAAAAACTATAAGTTTTACAGGCACCAAAAGGCATAGCCATCATTTGGCACTGGGGCTTTACAGATATAAATTACAATGGCAGCTCTAGGACAAAGCATGCAGGAGGAGAAGCATGGCAAAGTTGAGATGACTTGGATGGGAAACGAATCACAATAGTGTGCATTGCTTTGGCAATGCACACTGACAAGAAGAACCACATCTCTACATTAACCAAGAATATTCTGACACAAATGTAATAGTCCCTGTTTGTGTCTTTAGGACTAAAAGCAGGTGTCTGTAGGCCTTAACAACATCAGTAACACATTATTTGAAATGCCATATCTGAGCTGTTCCTCTCTTGTCTCAAGTGCAGCAGTCAGTGTGTATCATTATGTTATTATCCTCTAACATCACCGCTAAAGTCCATAAAAATCCCACATCTCAGTGTTGGCTTTGCTGCTAAATCTCCTCAGAGATTACTGCTATGAAAGACCCATAATCCAGTCCTGATCAATCTAATCTGTGGCTAACATGGACTCTAGCAGTCATGGCTGTACAGCAGAGCGTCTTTGGTCAGGTGTTTATTAGAAAGAGACTCACAACAGTCGGTAAAACTCTGCTTATTTCGCATCTTATGATGATGTAAAGCGCAGCAACAGGTCTGAGTTTCTTATCTACCGCTAACTTTAGCCTGTTGAAACTTTAGCAGCTGAAGCTAACAGGTCAGAGGTCAGCCAGGTGCCACATCACACAGCCTAACGTCATGGATGCTAGCAGCAAGCTACCACACTGAGACTTGGTTCGTTTTTAACCACAGCTTTATAATGAATAAAAAAAACTGTTTTCAACAGGACAGGACACAGACAAAACTCACCAACAGACCACAGCTACACATAGCGACACTGACACAATTCGCCACAACAACAGTTGTGTCATCTTCATCCGTCTCCTGCCGGGCCCGGGACAGACATCCTCGCCGAACACGAAATAAACGTTTATCCTTTTAGTTGTTGTCTTCTCCGACGAAAACCCGGAAAACAATACGGCTGTATTCCGTTAACTTTACCGACCATTACTTTCCTGGCTAACTGTGATGTTGTTTCCCTTCACACACATAACCTGCTACGTCTGAGCGTCAGCGCGAATCGTCCAATCAGAGCGCAGCAATGCGTCTGCGCCGTTCAAACGTCAGGAGAGCTTGTTTTGTTTGACCGGGTCACCCGAAATATGCGGAGTTTATTTGTCTCAAACCTTATAATGTTTTTTTTTTTTTTTTAAGTTTACTAGTATTAATGCGATATGTATGTGTTTGATTATTCCTCCGAGTGATATTAATTGTGATATTTACGGCGATAATTACATGAATGATTTACGTAAAGTCTTTAAAGTTTGTAGAGGGAAGCAGGTAAATTTATTTCATTTTTGGAAAGTTTTAATTTCCTTGAATAAACCATTATTTACATTTAAAAGATAATACAATACTTGATGCTGGCCCTTAACTTATGTTCTTTTGTTCTTTTTTACTGTAAATGTTATGTTTACTCATTTCATAAAGCGCCTTTTTAATGTAATTATTCAATGCAATTACTGGTACCTTTTTGTTGTGTAGTGAAAACTTGTAAATAAAGATTTTTGGGGAAAAAAGAACTACTTGGGATAATTTCGAAACCTTTATTTTCTAATGCATATTGTGGAAAAAGTATATAAAGATACGAAAGCCAAGTATCGCGAGACTTTGTTATAAAACTTTGCCACACTTCACAGCTTCTCTCAACAAAAAACATTTATGAATCTGACACTAGAGGGCGCTCTCAACTCAATTTTGAAACATTTTTAAGTCTTGAAAATTCACCTCGGATGATTGCAGAAAACAAAGGACAAACACATTTGTTTTTTATGTTCAGTTCTAAATATTATTTCTATATTTTATGATAGTTTCTGTGTGTATTTCAAGGTACAACACCTCGTGTTGTGGTTTATATTGAATTCTGCTTGGAAATGGTTTCAAATAAGGTTAAAAACATGACTAAAACATCTAGGAAACGTTTGGGACTGAAACAGCTGGATAGAGTTTGTGGTGTGCTTCAATGTTTAATTTGTGATTTTTTTTATTGTTAAAGTTATTATCACAATCAGTGTTTGTTTTAATGTTTATTTTCATGTTTGTTTCTTCTGGTGTTTGATTTCTGAATTTTCTTTGTGTTTAGTTAGTTCGTTGCCTCCCTGTGTTTCTGCCTTTCCACAGTTTAGTCTGCTCTTCAGTCAGCCACCGGCCAACACCTGCTGTCTGCTTCACCTGCCACAGCTGCAGACACTTCTCCCATCAGCCCCAGTCCTCAGTGGAGCATTGAGTTCATACACCACATCCGGTTCTCTCTGTTCTCTCCTTGTGTCTTCCTGCATCTATATACAGTATATATA